CGGGAGGCTAGCATCACTCACGGCCTTTATCATGTTTTTAGCGTTGTCTCTGAGCACAACATGAACAGAACTTTTGGGAATATTCCACGCCTGAAGCATTTCATCAAATGGACCTGCTATGGTTCTGCTAGCGTGTGAACCCTGAAGCTGCTTTGCCTGTAACACGGCTCTCTGAAGGGTCAAATCTTCAGCAATCCACTGCACAGTTAAACTAATAATAGATAATGGACTTACCCCCACCCCTTCTTCTTTCAGCTGCTCCCTTCTTCAGGGGTCGCCACAGCAAACTAACTCACACGAAGACTTGGCAATTGCTTTTACACCGGATGCCCTTCCTGACGCAACCACAGACCATCGAGCTACCACAGCCCTCTGTGTGGAGCAGAGATCTGGGGTTCCAGGGGGAGCAGATGGGGGTTAAGAGTCTTGTTCAAGGGCCCAGAGTGGGGCAAATGAGAGTAGAGACAGGTGTGGGTGCTTCACCTATCCCACCCACATTGTGATGTTGGTACGGGGAGCTGAACTGGCGACCTTCTGATCACAGGCCCACCTTCTCTAACCTCTGAGCTACCACTCCCCCCTATCGATAACGAACTTACGCTGCTTGTCCGAACATCTGTAGTCAAACTGAATTAAAAAACATCCTGCAACAGGCTGTTGATGTGTTTTATTTATGAAGTCATACATCTTCTGCAAAGTTTTTTCAACAATATGGTGGCAGCTGGGAATGTTGTACCGAGGCTCTAACACCTTGAGAAGACGTCGAAATCCAGAATCATTCACCACTGAAAACATCTGGTCGTCAAGAGTGATGAATTGGGTAAGAGCTTCAGTTATGATTACCGCACGTGGATTGTCTGGAGCCATTTTGTCACGTTTCTGAAGAACTTGCTGCAGCGTTGGTTGTGATGTGCTGCTAGTAGCAGAAAACTTTTAACTCTGACTCATGTTTCATCTTTTTTATTTTTATTGTACTCTAATCCCCAATGAGAAAATTAATTCTCTGCATTTTTTCCATTGTACATGTGAGCACACACACAAGCAGAGGGCTGCCATCTAAGGTGCCCGGTCTTCAGGTGCCTAATTAAATGACTTGTGTTGAAGCTGCTAATCACTTCTCCTCTGGACAGTTTACCTGAGCACAGCAGACAATCTACTTTTTAATATCATCTGTGTTTATCTTAAAATATTTCCAAACTACAGACTTTTTTTTTTACCTTCGGTCACTTGTGCAGCAGAAGCAGAAATGGCGCCACCAAGCATATAAATTGTATTGGTCAGGGGCGGACTGGGACATTTCAACCTTTTATTTAGACAGATAAGTCACACTGAGCCTAAAGACTAATTTACAAGTGAGATCTGTTTAGACAGACCAAAAGTAGTGAAAACTGGACACATGTAGGAATTGGAGGCGAAAAAATTTCTATCAGACTTTTTTTTTTTCCTGCCTGAGAAGAAAAAACTCTGATATTAAAAAACACCTCGCACAAACAAGCACATAGTGACATAGACATTCTGCAGAGGGGGGACGACGAGAGCGGTGAGCATGTTCACAGATGCTCTCGAGGACATTGTAAGAGTTCTGATAAAGATGTAATAATCAGTCAATGTCCTCCGGTGAGATCCATAAACATTCTGAGGTATGTCTCCCCTCAGCCCCTGGTTTGTCTCCTTTTTATGTTGTTTTTGGTTTTCAACCACCCATTGTCTCTGTTCAAGAACGTGAAGCATCTGTTCCCACAACCCACATGGCTGCCCTCCGCTGCCAGAGAGTCTGGCGGAGGGCTAAACAGGCTCTTTTAAAATCTAGGGCAGCCTACACTAGAAAGGCTAACCGCCACAGAACCCCCCAACCTGACTATACTGTGGGACAGAGAGTGTGGTTGTCCACTAAGGACCTCCCACTCTAAGTATCGTCCCGCAAACTCGCCCCCCGCTTCATCAGACCCTTCCCCATATCCAAAATTATCAATCCTGCTTCTGTTCGTCTGTCATTACCCAAGTCTTTTCGTGTTCATCCCACATTCCATGTCTCATGTGTTAAACTGGTTATTTCCTCCTAGTACCACTCCCCTGTTTGCTCCCCCCACCCGCCCGTCTGATTGATGGCTCTCCCGCCTACACTGTTCACCGACTCCTCCGTTCTAGACGAAAGGGTCGGGGGCTCCAGTATCTCATTGATTGGGAGGGATACGGACCGGAGGAGCAGTCCTGGGTTCCCTCCCGTCACATCCTGGACCGCAGCCTCATCCAGGACTTTCATCGCCTGCACCCTGATCAACCTGGTGGAACGCCGGGAGGCGTTCCTTGAGGGGGGGGTCTGTCACGAATCACGTCCCATAAATTATATTTTCTGTCATCCTGTTCACCCTTTAAAGTTTGCAATAGATCTTTTCTGTAAGTTTCATTTATTCTGTCCGCTCAGGCAATGTTTATTTATATATGTGAGTTTTAGTTTGTCTTCTTTGCATGCTGGTTGAGGGTGAAGTCACGGTTGTTTAGTTTTGTCTTCACTGCAGCCAGCAGCAGCTGATTGAACTCAACTGGTTGCACCTGTCTCTGTCACCCTTTAAAAGCTGCACTCTTTCTCCTCTTCGGTGCCCGGTAGTTGAAAACAGTTCACTGTAAGTAGATACCTCGCGTTACTCATCCTGCCTTGCTCCCCATTAGCCTTTCATGTCCCCTTGTCATAGTTTACCTGTCTCCTCGTTCCTGTCCCTCTCCTGGTTCCTGTCCTTCCCTCTTGGCTTGACCTCCCGGCTCCTGAACCCACGACTTACCTGGACATCGTCTCTCGCTCGACCCTTTGGATTACCACGTCTTCTGTCTTCGGTTCTGACCGTTGCCTGCACGACTACGATTACGCCTCCTCGTCTTCTCCTCCGGTACCTCCTGTCATCTGCTCTCCGGTTTTGGACCCAGACTTGAGTAACCACGTCTCTGCGCTCATCGGACTCACCACCCACCTGTCGCTGCGGCCAGCTGCAGCCCCTCACCGGACTCAGCCTCTCCTGCAGCGGTCCGGATCAGTTTGGACTTCGTTACTCTCCAGAAGCCCCAGGATCATCTGAGACGGTTGGTGGTCCTTCTTATTTGACTTTTCTGCTCCCCATAATCTCTTGCATGACCACTAACCGATCTCTATCTCATAGACTTGTCCCTGATCCAGAACCAGTACCAGAACTCGAACCCAAACCAGAACCAGCACCAGAACCGGTCCAATCTGCAATATCTCTCCTAGAAAATAAATACTATTTAATTTTCTTCATTTGTGTGGTGATTTTGGTCCAAACTAGAAGGGGTTCGTTACACTAGAGCAATGTGGATATCCTAACTGGGCCTTCCTGAAAGCAGAGAAGAAACCCAAACAGGACTCCAGTCAGCCATCAGGTGAAAAGGAGGAACCCAGACCAGTGGTCATTCCGTATGTTGAGGGAGTATCAGAGAAACTGAGACGTTTATTTTCTAAAAATAATGTCCCAGTGGATTTAAACCCCAAAATACATTACGGCAAAGACTGGTTCATCCCAAAGATCCAGTCCCCCGGCACAAACAGAGTAATGTTGTGTATGTTGTTCAGTGTCAGGAGGGCTGTGATCAGTCTTACATCGGGGAAACTAAACAGCCACTGGCCAAAAGGATGGCCCAGCACAGAAGATCAACATCATCAGGCCAGGACTCTGCGGTCTTCACTCATCTCCAGGCCAGCGGTCACTCTTTCAGGGATGAAGATGTTCACATCCTGGACAGAGAGGAACGATGGTTTGAGAGAGGAGTAAAGGGGGCCATCTTTGTGAAAAGAAATCGTCCATCGTTAAACAGGGGTGGAGGCCTCCGGGTTCAACTGTCCCCCTCTTACAATGCTGTGATTGCTAGTATCACTCAGCCCCCTGTGAACAGTAAACAGCCATCAGTGTGCTAATGATCCATTGTTAGGTTGATGGTCCTTCTTGAGCATGTGATCAGCTGGTTTTGGTTGTCAGCAGCAAACTGGTTGATCCACTCTGAGAAGGTGCTATTTAAGAGACTGAGCTGAATACAGCTCCTCAGACTGAGGAAGTCTTTCGGATGAAAGACGAAACGTTTCTACTTTTTTTTTTTTTTTTGGAATTTCCAGAGGACCAGATTGAACTTTTTTAGATTTGTTAAAAGGACGACTCTAAAAAGCCTCAGGGATGAGCTGTCCATGGTGCTGAATTTAGAATCAGCTCAACAGACTCAAAACTTCAAAACAGAACTGAAAAAGTTTCACAGAAATTAACAGTAAATTTAACATTCAGTCAAATTTTACTCATCCACAACATTCTGTGTGCTGGTTACACAAGATTGTTTTATTACACTTTGCTGTTAATTATTTAGAGTAAACTTCTGTTAGCAAAATAGCTTTTAAACCATTGCACATATTTTAATGAAATATTCAGCTAATATTTTTTCATTCAACCTTTATTTATGCAGGTTAATCCCACTGAGCCTCGGAGACTTATTTACAAGAGAGACCTGATTTCTTTAACAAAGAGTGATGACAACAGTGGATAACAACAACAGACAATCATAAAATAGGCATACAAATTTAAGTTTCTCTTTTTGTTAACAAATCAAAACAATCAACACAAAATAGCAACCAAAAGGACAATCAAGAGGAATAGTAGCAAAAAAACACTTAGATTATAAGGTGATTTAGAAAACTAAAAACTGGAACGTGGAACACATTTATTGGCATTACAGCTATTTCAGAGCCAATCTAATCCAAGATGGCCACCACGACCAACTGAACACAAAAGAACACAAAAATGGGTATGATTCAGTCAAGTGTGTGATGTGGTAGTAGCTGAGAGTTATTTACTACACATACAGAGAGCATGATCCAAACTGCTGCGCCCTCTCAGCAGACGGGCGATATGCATTCGCGGTATGCAATACCTTTAATGGCCACTAACACGTGCAGTGTTCTAAAACGATGGTTATCCCTCGCCAACTCCCCTCCCACGCGCTCCACTCGCAGTCACGCGCACACGCACTCCCATTCCCGTGGGCTCGCTTCCGCCGGCCTCAGCCAATCAGCGCGGGATGCGCCGCAGCTTATAAACCATCTTCCGTGGAACCGTCCGCCCTCCATCCTGAGGATTATCGAGCGCGAGCTGCACCCCTCATATCACCGCAACCGTGAAGATGGCGTCCCGGGTAAGACTCCGCCTGTTTTCCTCCCGCAGCGGCGCTTTTCTCCTTCAGACAAGCACGAGCAGGTTGAGGCGTGACGCAAAATGTCGGCGGAGCCTTTGATCCGCTGTTTAAACTCCTAGCTTTAAGCCCCAGGTCTGAATGTCACGGTGAGTGTGCAGAACACGGTGTTCACGTGATGTCACGTCACGCTCGGTCCCAGCTCCGGCTCTACCTGTGCATATGTTGGAGGCTGTGGTCAGCAGCTTGCAGCCACAGACTGAGCCCCCCCCCCCCCCCCCCCCCCCCCCCCCACACACACACACACTCTGTCCTTGAGCCTCTGCGCCTCGAGCCCAAAGAACAAGTTGGCAGAATGTCCGGCTGGTCCGCAGGTTCTGGATCTGCCGCGGGTCTGATGTGCGGGGTGCTGTTTGCGGGGTGGAGCACAGCAGAGAATGGCTGATGGAGGACTGTGTGCATGGGTTTTTTTGTTTTGTTGCTGTTTGTTCGTTTGTTTTGTGTTGGGGGGGGGGGGGGGGGGGGGGCTGTTGTACAACCTGTCCTCACAAAACGGAGAAGATATGTGGACCTGGTTCACATATCTTTCTGCCTGCTGTCCCTTTCATCACCCCCCCCCTCCCCCTTCCACTCCTGCACCCGCAATTTTGAACTGAGTCCCTATTTAGTCTTTTCCCAAAACAAGTGACCTCTAAGTACATTTTCCTAATCAAGCCGTTTACTAATCATCCATCCATTTATTTTACCCGTGTCCTCCTTTTTGGGTCACAGAGTTCATTGGTGTCCATGTCCAGCAGTCACTGTGTGAGAGGTGGGGGACACCCTGGACATTTCTCCAGTCCATCACAGGGACACATATAAACAAACGAGACAAACAACCATCCACTCTCTCACTCACACCTAGAAACAATTTAGAGTTACCAATCAGTCTAACATGAATGTTTCTGGTCTGTGGGAGGAAACTGGAGTACCTGGAGAAAACACATTGTTTTAATGTATGTGTTTAATGTAAATGCAGTGGTGGGCCAATACAGCTAATGTGCTAATAGCTGAACTAACTCTCCATTTAGTGGGTTAGTGTTTTTTCATTCTCTGCGCTAAAAGTGTTCAGTAGAATAATGATTTACACGGAGCAATGCTAAATTATGCTAAGCTTAGCAAAGCTAAACACCACCCAGTGAGATCACCATCGTCACCGTGTTTTCACCCTTATATCTCCTGCAGTCTCTGACTCACGGTGTCAGTTTACAGCTAGTAACGGAGACTTTAACATATATGTCAAACCAAACCAGAACATGGTTAATAACATGTTAAGAGCATGGTTAATAACATGCTAA